ATAGTCAATTTATTTGCACTCAAAATTATAAAATTAATTTGAGAAAAATAATAAAGATATTGCCTTCATCAAGTATGGTGCAAAACTGAGTCAAAAGATGTTTGTCACTAGATAAAAATACTTGTGAATTGGGGTAAAAGGAGGAGGCGTAAAAAGTCATAAAAATTAGCACTTTACTACTGTAATAATCCAGACAGCGCTAATATATCGAAAACAAAATAAACCATAATTTTGTATTTTTTTAAAAACTCTGGTTCAGTTTTGCACCATACTGTGTGTATATATATATATATATATATATATATATATATATATATAATATATATATATATATATATATATATATATATATATATATATATATATATATATATATATATATATATATATATATATATATGTATATATATTTATATTAAAAATATATATTTATTTACACAAATATATGTATATATACATACACATATATATATATATATATATATATATATATATATATATATATATATATATAATATATATATATGTATGTGTGTGTGTGTGTGTACATATATTTTTAACTTTTTCTTAAAGTTTTCTTAAACTTATCATTATAACATAAGAACTAACACAGAATAACAATTTAGTTGTTATATGATTGCTATATATATTTTTTATATTTTATAGTAAGCTATAAGTTTTTTTATAATTTCTTTTTCTAATTTTATTAGAATAAACACCTATTTAAACAAAGATAGCAAGATATCAGTTACTCTACAGGGAAACGTGAAACAAGTTTGTATTTGTTACTTTTAGTTGCATTTATTAATTGATGTCAAAGTTTTACATTTGCAAATTGTTTAGGTTATGCTCAAAGAAAATGGTTATTTTCATCTTCAAATACAAGAGGTTAATATATATTTTATAGAATAGTCTTGATTTTAAAGAATTTTTGTAATATTGTATAAATATTTTTAAAATGGTATAGAAACAATTTTATATTATTAGTATCATAAAAATGCTATAAAAACATATATATAAAATGATGCTATGAAAAATTGTAAAGAAAAGTTTTCATTTAATTTTGTTTTTGATGATGAAATTTCAGGTATTAAATGTTGACCACTTTTGGGCAACTTATGCTGATAAAGAAACAATTCGTATTATGCATCATCTTCACAACAAGATCAATGAGTTTGGTGGTAGAAACTGGAAACCTATGGAGCCTGAAAATATCCAAGTTGGCGCTTATTGCTTGGCTCCATATGAAGATGAGTTTTTTAGAGCGGAGATTATAGCCTGTTCACCAAATTTGATAAAAGTAAATGTTTTCATAATCTGAAAGTTAAAGAATCTTTATCTCTTTTATACATTTTCACTATAATTCATTTAATCGAATTATTTTCCCTTTCTCTTTTTTCTTCCTTCTTTCTCAATCAAATTTCTATTTGAATTTTTTTTTTTGTCTTTTTCTTGCTCAATTTTTTCTTCCTTTGTCTACCAAAATAAAAAAGAGTACCCTCCTCAACTGAATTTGCTCCATTTGGAGCCTTAGGGAGATAAACCTTAACTTAGGGAGGTAAATTTAAAAAAAAAAAAAGTTGCATTACCTTTTTCTCCTTTTTTCTGAAAGATGGATTTTTGATATTTTTTAAAATTCTGTTTTAAACTTTTCTAGGTCTTTTTCCTTGATTATGGTAATTCAACACAACTGGTTGAAAAAAGTTATATACGAAAATGCCCTGATTTTTTGCTGGAAATTCCATTTCAGGTTTGTTCAAATCTAAATAAATGCTCAAATTTGAAACTTTGACTTCATATAACGTAGTATAAGTAATTAATGTCTCGATAATGATATCATTAGTATTATGATAAATAGTATTATTGCTTAGTTACGCATTTTTGTTTATTATTATTACTTATGTTTATTACTTTGCTCAGTATTCTTTATGATTCAACTTTAAAAAATTTTATAACATAATAGACCTGGTATTAAAAAGTTATGTCTTCGAAAATGTAGAGTAGAAACATAAAAAATTTGCTTGTATTATATTTAATCTTAAACTTATCTAAATGATTTCTATTTATTTCCAAAATTATTCAACACACTAAAACAGCATAAAAGTATTATTCCTATATTCCTTGTAAGTTTTATTTTTAAAAAAGTTTAATTTTGTCTTATTGTACCTACTCTTGATTCAGTACCCAACACCTACTCTTGGTTTAGTACCCAATACCTACTCTTGATTCATAAGTTGTGTATTGATTCATAAGTTGTGATTCATAATGTGTAATATGTTGTAATTTGATATTTATTTTAATCTTTTAGTCTTAGAGATTTTTTATTCAGTTTTATTTGAAAATATTGACTTGAAAAATATTTATTTTTTAAATTTAATTGCATTTCATTACTTTATCTTATGTCTACTGAATAAAGGATAATCTTGTTATCTTATGTCTACTGAATAAAGGATAATCTTCTTATCTTAAGTCTACTGAATAAAGGAAAATCTTCTTATCTTAGGTCTACTGAATAAAGGATAACAAACAATTCATGCTTTGTCTCTTTAATACTTAATCAAAACTCTAACAATAAAATCATTAAAAAGTGTTTTCATTAAATGAATAGCAAATGGCTATATATTAAACTACAGTACACAAATTTAATAAATATTTCTTTTCACTAAATGTCGATAGTAATACTATATACTAAATGTGAAACTGAATATTACTATTTCTGATGCTAAAAAATTAATATTACTATTTATTTATATTATAATATATTACTATTTCTGATGCTAAAAAATTAATGAATAAAAAAGTGATTTTTATTAATAATAAAATATTATTAAAAAAAGAAAAATTAATAAATATCTCTCTATTAAATAATCTATACTATTTGTTACTTTTATTATCTGGTTTTCACATTTACCCCATGAGAAGTGATAACTGTACCACATTGTAAGCAATCTTTCAATGTTGGTAAGATGACCTAAGGGGTTGTCCATAAATTACGTCACGCAGTTTTTACATTTTTTGATACACACGCCACCCCCACCCCCTCCTTGTAACGCATCCGTAACACTTTATTAAATAATATTATGCAAGACTTTTGTCTATAGGGTCTATAATTCGTCAATGTCTATAGTTCTCTGAGCTTCTTTGAGTTAATTAATTAGTACTTTCCAGTCTGTTTATTTTTTTTTTCCACCCCAATAGTGCTGTGTAAAGTTGTATAAATTAACATTGCTCTTCTAAACATGATATCAATTTTAAAAATCTATTTTTCCGATATATAATACATGCAAAATGTTATATATATAATATATAATAAATAATAACATATTACACATTAAAAAATATTATTTTATGAATAAAATTTTCTTTGAACAAGAATCATAAGCGTGGCCAAGTGGATTCTGCCTCCGGCTAGTAAACCAAGGGTTCCAGGTTCGTTTTTCAGTTTCGAAAAATTTTTTTTAAGTTAGTGCACAAAGATTGTTTTTTTGTTGCTGCACACTTTTGTGCACCAACTAAATATAGTTCTGCACTTGAGCCATATAAATTCAAAGCGCAGAATGTGCACTGCTCATAAAACCGTAACAGTCTGTTAACAGGCTGTAACTACTCCGTTAACAGAGTGTACATCGACTAAGTAAGATTTAGGCGTAGTTAATTTTACAATCAACATGTAGATACATTAACTGAGGGTTTTGGTTTAGTCAGATACTTTTTTAATTAAAAGAAAGTCTTCTCTAAAAAAAAAATGTTGCCCTTCCATTGTCACAAAATTGCCTGCCCTTCCCCCCCCCCTCCCCTTCCCTCCTAAGCGTGATGTAATTTATGGACGACCCCTAAGCTTGACAGCTATAGCAGATTTAATAAATTTACAATAATTTTTAAATCTTAGTCTAAAAAAAGCGGACCTCTTTATAAGAACCAGCTCAATATGGCATTTGTATTTCATATAATTAAGGTTAAGAGATTTAATAGAGTTTAGTGGATGCCTAAACTTTATGTGTGTTATTGACATTTTTTTTTCATGCCAAAATTGTTTAGGTATGTAAGGTAAGTGTGTTAAATAATTTTGCATGGTGAAAGGAGTGTTTAACACATTTTGATACCCAAATTTCATTCTCTAGAAACAGAAAAACCTTAATAAGTTTTATATTGTCAACCATTTTTGGACACTAGTTTCACTTATTTGACTCATCTAATTTTTTTTTCTCAATAACTCAAAGCTATGTTCACTTCAAACTTTTACTTTTTTTTAATTTTAAACTTGTTTGCTTTTGAACCTCAAGTTTAGCAGATAGAGCCGGTCCAATTACTTTTACAATGCATGTTTGGACCTTGTCTAGAGAATTGAGGCTGGTTCTTCTAATTTATCATTAGAAGAATCAGCCCAAATATGACAACAGTATTCCATACAGGGATGAGTAAGAGATTTGTAGAGGTAGAGAATGGAATTAGGAGAAAATAAGAAAATGGGAAGAACAATAAAGAGTGGCAATTTTTATTGCCACTCTTTATTGTTCTTCAGTGGCAACAGATGCTAATTTGGAAATCAATTGTATATATGGTTTCCATGAAAGGTCAGGAAAAAATGATAATCCAAAAGGAGGTAAAAAAAAGGAATCAGTGAGAGGGTTAATATTCAGTAATATAGGAATGTCAAAAGTATTGTGATAATCAGTTATTTACTGCAAACAAATCAGTTGTTTGCAGTAAATAACTGAGTTTGGTTGGAGTTAAAATTTATAAACCACTGTGAGCCCCAATCTATTACTGAAATGAGATCAGATTTAAGATTGGCTGTCTGTTCTAACCAATTAAAAGAGAAGTCTTTTTGTCAAGACAAGAGTATAAAGTTGAGTCATCAGCAAAAAGAGCTACTTTAGATGTAAAGTTGTCAAGAAGAACATTAATGTAGATAAGAAACAAAACAAGATCAAGAATAGAAGCTTGAGGTACCCCAGAAGTTACTGGAAGAGTGTTGGTCTTTGAGTATGACTAAAATAAAGCGGTTAGAAAGAAACAATTTGATAATCTCAAAAACTTTCCCATATACACCATATTAAACAAGCATATGGAGAAGACCACCAAGCTAAACTTTGTTGAAAATTTATGATATGTCAAGAGCAATTACCCTAACTTCTCCGCCTCCATCTAATGCACACTAAAATCTTTCAGTCACAGCAATCAGCAAGTCAGCTGTAGAGCGAAGGGATTGAAAACCATATTGATTGTCTGACAGGTAAGGGAAACAATAAAAACTTCCATTCCTGCCTAAATCCAGGAGGTTATGGTGCATTTTTCAGCTGAGAAAGAAAAAACATCAGCCTAAGAACCGTCACAAAGAAAATTGCAAAAAGAATCCCAGTCAGCTTTAGCATAGTAGAAAGTATTGTGATGATAAGGTGAGTCCAAAAAGGAAGTATGAGATAAAAGATTTAAAGGTATCATAGCATGGTCAAAACCACCTAAAGGAGAAAAAGGAGAAACTATATACAAGGTAGGATCAAAGACGTGACATAAATCAAGGAGTGAAGGTAAATGATTAAGTTTAACAGGAAAACAAGTCACAAAGTTAACTATCTGAGTAAGAGATTGAGAAATGCTGAAGTTATTGACTTTAGTCTCAGCAGGGTCAGTGGCATTAGAGCCAATTTATTCAGTGTGATGAACATTAAAGTCACCAATAACAACAATATTGGCAGAGGGGTAAAGAGAGAGGGCATAATCAATTTGAACAGAAATTACATAGAAAAGATTCCAGTCTTGGAAAGATTGAGAACAATAAAGAACAAAGAAAGGTGATAGATAGTTCAATATAAGAATAATATAAATATAATAATTAATATCAATATAAAAATAATATAAATATAATTAATAATATCAATATAAAATTAATATGCCACAAACTTTTATTTTATGTTTCACATAAAAGAATATATTTATTATGCTTAGCAGACCCTGCGATCAAGCCTCTAAGAGTGTTTTTTGCATTTATCATATTTATTTCTTTCCACAAAATGTTTATCTGTGTGTTCATCAATATATTCAGTTGAAGTAGTTGCTTTAACATCATACATTTCATCTTGGCAGCAAAAGTTGCACATAAGTTGTATAGTTTGCTTAGAACATTATCAACACCATCTAATAAATCTGACTGATTTTTCCAAAAACACAAGAAATTTATCAAAGTGCTATTATTTCAATATAATTTTAGAATTAATAAATGTAACAGACAAGAATACGACAAATAAGTGGCTGGGCTATTACTCTGAACATAAGTGGCACGGCTACCAGAAAAGCTATCTAATACAACTTTATAAACACAATATAAGCAATTTATGTGTCTATTTTAACTTAATGTGTGCATCTTAATTTTTAGAATAAAATGTAAAAGAAAAACAATTTTAAAAATGTGCATTTTTTTTTAATGCTGTAATCTTTCACATAAAATTTACTCTAACCTGTCATTCAATATATGTAAACTTGCTTCATGTATATATATTTGTATTACTTTAGGCATTTGAATGTTATTTAAGTGAAGTTAAACCCTCCCGAACCAAATGGACAGATCAAGCATTGAACAGATTTGTTGAATTAGCTCCTATTGGATCAGCAGTATTAATTGCAAAGGTATACTTTTTCTTCTTCAACTTTTTTTTATGTTTTGATTTTGGTATCTTTTGAGGCAGATAAGGTTCTTGTACCACTCCTTAGCCGTCGTGAAAACAACAAAAAATATTGCAAAACCTAGAAGAAGGAAAATTATGATAAAAAACCTCAAATTTGTTGCAGGTAGTTGTGGGGAGGGGGGGGCTGAGGGTAAGAAGGGGTTCTTAATTTTAGATATTTCTTGTGGTTGTATCAAATGAATAAAAAAACTGAAAAACGAGGCATTTTACCTGATTCATTTTTAAATTTATGATTTACACTATTAGTTGTATGTGTAGTACTCAGTTCTTATGCTATTAGGTGTATAGTGTTGTACATGGTGCTTATCACCTGGAGTTGTTTAATGGTGATACAAGCATCAATCAGACATTGATTAAAGAAAATTATGCTGTATACAAAGAAGAGACATTGCAGTCACAGGTTGTTGTTTTTTTTAGTTCTACAAAGTAATAAGTGTGTGGTGTAATATTGGTGATTGATTTTATAATATTATTGTTTTTAGAGGTATCACGAACAAAGTTTAAACAAAGAAACTAAATCAATGGCTCAAGAATCGTCAGATATATTTATTTCTGATGTTTCAAGAGTTGAAAAAGGGGAAGAAGTTATAAAGGTAATAATTTTTGTATGGAAATATTTGAAATTGGTTTCTCCAACTCTTTGATCTCTACCCCTGTGATCATAAACACCCCTGTGATCCACCTCTGTGATCATAAACATCCCTGTGATCATAAACACCTCTGTGATCATAAACACCCCTGTGTGAATATCAAAAATTGACAAAACATGAAAAGATTAAGATTTTAATTATTTTAAATAAAAAATTTTCAATAAATAAAAATATTTTCTCATATTTTTACATTTCATTACATTTTTAAGTTTCTTATACTGACCACAAATACTCGGTTCTAGGTAAAAGTTTTTATTGCAAGTGCCTTTAATATATATTACTGAACGAAAAATTTGTTACCCGACACAATTTTTTTTTTCAAGTTTGAGTTGTCTCCAATAAGAGATCCAAGTAAGTTTCTAAAAAAATTTTAAAATCTCAATTGTTTTAAAAGCATTAGAATAAAAGCTTAACAAAAAATTAAAAAAAACCCTCACAGTGTTCAGTATATAAACAACATATTAAGAACACTGCATAGTAGGTCAGTATGTGGACAAAATATTATAATCACTGCACATTGGGCCAGAAATCTGGACAAAATGTAAAATACTTTAGTTCTATAATCTCTTTGAGTTTCTAAGAAGAAATTTGTTGAAAGTTATATACTAAATTTAATTTTAGTTTTTAAAGATTTTATTAAAAGTTAGATTATTTATAACTTTATAAAAGCAACTTAGATTATTTAAATATATAGATAAATAATCCATTTATAAAGTTTATTTTAACTTTATAAATGGATTATTTATCTATAATTTTAAGTTATTATGAATAAATTTTTATTACTGTTAAAAATATTTTTTCGCATGTCAACTATTATTTGAAAAAAAATGAAGAAAACTGACCAGGAATTACAAGCCTAATTTATGCTTCATTGTACTTTATTGTTAATAAATAATTATTATTTATTGTTAATAAATAATTAATTACCTAATAATTAAAAACCTTACAATTAATTATTTTGATCTAATTAAATTTGTTAGATTCCTTTGCGAGGACCTCACAGTCCTTATGAATTGAGTTTTTTTGGGCTAACTGCTTCTGCGAGATTACGGTATGTTTATATTTTCATGTTAATCTTTTTGTTGTTTTCATTTTAATAAGTTATGTATTTTTTTTCTTCACATTTCACAGCGGATGTCGTGTTGAACAGGATTCTGTTAATAGTGTGGTGATATGTGAAGATCCTCATGATAAGCATCAAAAGTTATTGATTGCCGCAACTGTCAATGTTAATTCTGCTGGGAATAGCATCATTGCTCGGTATGATATGAACAAGATTTTGCATATTTGATTTTTAAAAAATATTATGATATTTGATTTTTAAAATATATATATATATATATGTATATATATATATATATATATATATATATATATATATATATATATATATATATATATATATATATATATATATATATATATATATATATCATAATAATAATAACATAAAATAACAAGAACAAATAACATGAAGCTGTAAAGCTCTGCTTTTTTAGGCAAAGACTAGGAGAAGACCCTGGCTTGAGGCATGTTAAATACATCCAGCAACTGTCTTGTAGAAGGCCTCCTAGGCAAAGACTAAAGGGGTAAACAGATTCTGTCTGTTGACCAGCCTTGCACTCCTTTATCTATTAGGCTGGCGCAGATGTATTTATGAAACATTGTTTCAAGTTTAGGATGTTGAATGCTGGATCTTCTTGACTTAAAGCATGAGTTTTGCTTGTATCTCTGTTTTTTTGACTAGGCAACTCATTCTACTATCTCCTAATAAGGATGCAGCTCTAAATCTAAGTTTTATGGTTTTGAGGCCGGCTAGTAGTCAGGTTTCACTAACTCTGTGGTAGAGAAACCTGTCTACCTGTATACCAGCCATGCGCAACATGGCACTGTTAGTAACTCAGTACTATCAGTGCTTTGTTGCACATGGATGGTGTCCCTATTTGTACTTTTGGTATGCATTGTTGAGGCAACATTTAGAGCCATTTGTTATGGCAGTTTACTGAGTACTATCTCTGCTTTGAGTCAAGTTCTTTAACAAATTCAAAAATGATTAAAGTATCAAAAACACAAAAAACCATTTATCACCATTGTTTTCTAAATCTATCATTCACTAATATTTGTGGTCTTCAAAGTAACTTTTCTTCTGTTGAGTTTTATCTCTTGCAAAGTTTACCCCACCTATTTTCTTTTGTGGGACTTATTTGAGTTCAGCTGTCTCATCTTGTGATCTTAGTGTTGATGGTTTTTATTTAATTTGTAAAGACTCCAATAGTCACATGCTTGGCTAGGGCATTTACATTTGTAAGAATTCACCCATTTGTCTATTAACTAGTTTGAATCCACAGACTATTTTTTTATGTACTTTTGTCTAGGACCACTTCACTCTATTGCCTTTCTCTTTGTTCTATATCACTCTCCTTCATCTCAAGACTTCGATGTTATTTATGATCAAATTGGCCATGCCCTTTCTATTTATCCTTCAGTTAATATCTTTGTTTTTGACTTTAATGTTCATCACACCTAATGGCTTGGCTCTAGTGTCAGTGACTCTGCAGGCATTAAAACCCACAACTTTTGCCTTTCTCAATCTCTAACACAAACAGTCAACTTTCCAACTTGCTTTCCAGACAATCTGATCATTTATCTTCTCTACTCAACTTATTGTTTCTGATTCAGTGCTCAGTTTCTCCACATTTACCATTAGGTGCTTCTGATCACAGTTTGATCCCTCTAAAATTATCATCTTATTCTTCTTTATCATCAAAATCCCTCTATGATTGTACCTCCTACAACTACCTTAAAGCTGACTGGGACTTGTTCTGTGATTTTCTTTGTGATAACCCTTGGGTAGAAATCTTTCATCTTCCTGCTGACAAATAGACTTCTTATGTAACTTCGTGAAACCAGGCTGGCATGGAATCCTTTGTTACCTCTCCATGATTCCAAGTCAAGCCTCACTTTTCTCCATGGTTTTCTTTCATTATGCTGCTGCAATTTCCAAATGAAATGAATACTTCCAATCTATCAGCAAAACAGTTCTCCAGAAAACAGGCGTCTATTTACTACTGCTAGAAACTATTGTAAAAAAGGTTTTGTTTAATGTCAAACCCGCTATTCTTAGGTCACAAAATCTTGTATTTCATCTCAAAAATTAGGAGAGGTCATTACATTAAATTATATTACATGATATTTTATGAAATTTAATATTTATTAATTACTAATTATAGGGAAACTACATTGCTTCCCAATATTCATGGGTTGTATTCTATGCTAGCATTATTGTTTGCCCCTGTTGCTGAATTGAGGTATTTTTTTATTTTATTTTACATGACTAAATATTTATTTAGATTTTTAGTAATGATTTGAAAGTAGTAGGAATTTTCATACCTCCCTTATGCACAATCAAGTATTTAGATGTCCTCTACAAAAAATATTTAATTTAAATAAAAATATTTTAATGTAATTATTTTATTTAATTCTAAAAACTTGTGTTTATAGATATTTAAAAAAACAAAAACATAAAAAGTAACCTTAAGTACTTTGTGAATGCTAAGTTACCCTGTTGCTAAGTTACTAGTTACCCTGGTTTTTGAAAGGTAACCCAATACCAAAAAAAAAGTTAATTGTTAAATTAAAATTTCTTAAAGTTAAAAAATTTGTTTGAAGCAAATCAGAAATAAAATTTGTAAGAATAAAAAATAAATGTATTTTTAAATATCTTTATGGTACATTTTCAAGGATTCATTCATAGAATAGCAAATAAACAACAGACTGTTGTTTATTTGCTGTTTACTGTTTATTTTACTTTTCAAATTCATCATTATAAGTCATTCATCAAATTAATGAACAAATTTAAAGATGAACTAAATTTTTTTCTTTTATCTAAGCAATCGCGCCAGAATAAGAATATATATCAGCCTGGGGGGGAACTAATTTAAGTTGTATGATGTACAGAAAGATTATATAAAAACAACTTAAAAATCCATCCTAATTTTGTGATATTTTGTTGTACCTCTTTGAATATTTAATTCTTTAATATAAGAAAAGCACAAAAAATTAAAACATCTACTCACCGCTACTTTTTGTCTTGCATATACATTGACTTAATAAGGGGGAGAAAATAAGAATACTATTTTTTGTTTACTGTACACTACCAACACTGAGGGAGCCTCTTAAGTTTAGGAGGCTACTCTTGGTCAGATATAGAAAAAAGATATAAATGATTAAAAAATTTTATTGATAAGTTTATAATGGTGGTTTTGAATACACCAAAACATGAAACAATCAAAACACCCCATAATGTAGATTGGGTGTTTATGGAAGGTCTAGCTTATAAAGTAAAACTATTTTCAAGAAAGCAGTTACTGAAAAGGAGAAAAGAAGAAAATCATAATTTTAATGATTCATTTGAAAAGAATTTTTGTTTTAAGATTTTATTTACTGAAGCATAGTTTCTTAATTTTAAAAATTCGTTTGTAAATTTCACAAAATTGTAGTTTGTGAAACAAACTACGGTTTTGTGAAACAAACTAGGCAAGAGTGAATCTTTATTCTGTTTTTACAATTGTCAACTATCAGGTATTGACATTACTTGTGATCAAGAAAGGGTTGATTAAGATCTGTTTGCATAAAATCTGTTTAAAAAAGAAAAAGCTCTTCTTGTGATTTTATTTCTCTGTAGTTTAAATTTTTCATTGTTTTCATTTGTTCTTTCATTGTTTTCATTTGTTCTTTCATTGTTTTCATTTGTTCTTTCATTGTTTTCATTTGTTCTTTCATTGTTTTCATTTGTTCTTTCATTGTTTTCATTTGTTCTTTCATTGTTTTCATTTGTTTTTTTTTTTGTCTTTATTTTCAAAAAGGGAAGGCCAACTTTTTTGAATAAATTTTAAATAAGTTGAAGAATTTCAAAGAATTTGTTATGAAGGAATGTGTAGGTAAGCATTAAATATGTGGTTAAAAAGATGATTGGTTAAAAAAAAGTTTGGTTAAAAAGATAATTGGTTAAAAAAACGTGGTTAAAAAGATGATTGGTTCAAAAACTTGAAGTTTGTAGTTTTTATGTATTTCGGACAGTTTTATGTGATATTAAATTGTTTTTTTAAACTCTACATAGGTTTTTATGTTCCAGTGGGCAATTTTTTATGTGTTGCAGTAGATAATTTAAAGTTATTTTTTTTATAGGTGTCATGATAAAAATACTCATTATATTGGTGCTCTTTGTGGACTAGGTGCTAATGATAATGGTGAATCGATATTGCCTGATCATGATCTAGAATTAAGTTTTGATATAAAATTTGATGCAGAGGATTTATTATTGGTTTGTTATTTGTTCTTTTTCAGCTTTATTTTTTTTTCCATAATTTAAATTACATTAAAGATATTATAAACACATAGTTCATTTTAAGTTCAGCATGTGATGAAAAAATATAACAGTAGAAAATTTTAAACACATTATTATAAACACATAATTCATTTTAAATTTATGATGAAAAAAAATAGAAAATAATGCTAGAAGAATAACATTAATTTTTGTTTTATTTCAAAAGATTTTTTTATTTAAACTAATCTTTTTTAAATCTATATTTTTATCAGAGTTTGATTGTAAATATTTATTTTTAGTTTGCAAAGTGTTCTGCTTGTGTATTAATTCTCATTTGTATATTAATAACTGACTTATATTTGTTTGAAATAATAGTTTGTTTGTTTTTTGGTGTTTCTTTTTCTTTACATAAAAATGTGTTTGGATTAAAGTTAGTATTTTAAATATTAAATTTAGATTTATATGCATAAAAATGTCACTAATGGCATACTAAAATAGCCATCTGAACGGACTTTAGTAGGTACTTAGTGGTTATCAGATACTACAAAATGCACCTATGTCTGGGTTTGTGAAGTTTGCATTGTTATCAGCAGCCTTGTTGAAAAGGTAAAATTGCTTAAGGAAGAGAGCAAAAACTAAAAAACCTTAAAAACAATTACTTCATTATTGCTAAGCAACATTACCAGTCATTGCAACAGTCTACTATTCAAACCTAGTTCATCTGCTACATTATATAAGGAAATTAAAATAGATAAAAAAGCAAAAAAGTCTTGTATTAGTAAGAATACTCAAATCAAACAAAAAAACTAACAATCAAATTGCAGATAATGACACTTTGAAGTTTTTTAAATAATAATAAATAATAAATTTTCAAGAAACACTTAGTTTTACAACTGAATGAATTGGAAACAAAAACTCTGTTAATTTAATTTTCTTTGACTTTTCCTTTATACTTTGTATCAAAGTCTTTTAGATAAAAAACAGAGTTCAAAGATAAATGGCTAAACTCTTTTATCTAATTAAACACAACCTTTAGTTCTTGCTAAATCTTGCTTGGAATGGGCTAGTGTTGTTAGTATTGTTTCACAAGGCTCTGTTCTTGGTCTAGTATCATTCATTAGTTTCATAAATAACATTCCTGATAATTTTTCAGTTCTACAAAATATGTATGCTGATGATACCAAGCTGCTTACAAGAAATTTAACAACAATAGTATAAGTAACCTTCAAACTGATCTTTATGATCTGAAATTTAACAGCAATAGTATAAGTAACCTTAAAACTGATCTAGACAAAATTTTAACTGGACTAATACGTGACTAATGCATTTAAATATAGATAAATGTACATTTACGCATGTCAGCCAAAACGACTACAAAACCAATATACAATTCAATTTTGCAATAGGTATTTGCAATCATAATCTTGGTGTTTTCTAATTTCTTATGATCTTAAATCTTTAGTACAAAAAAAGCTGCTTCATCAGCTAAAGAATAATTGAAAATACTTTTATCATTTGTGATGTTCATCTCACAATTATTTACTTGTATTATATTTCCATACCTTGTATGTATGTAGATAGGTAAATATGTATGTAGGGGAGTGTGGGACACCATGAAACATTGTAGTTGTGGAGGGATTTTAGGAATTGTGACTACCACTTTCATATATTAAAATATTTACTACTAAACCTATGTTTTGACAAAAAAAAATTGTATGATTTGATACCATTAGGCTAGCAAGGAATCAAGTTTTGTATTTTTTTGATGACAAAGTAATTTATTAGATTTTAAAGTTGTTAAGTTTTAAAGTTATTCAATGGGTTGTTTTGGCTTACAAGTGAAAATCTTTCTTTTCTCTAAGTTTAATACTTTTTATTTTCTTTTTTAATGATGCTCATAGTTTGTATTAATGTACTGGGTGTGGTACCTTGAAACAATTTTTTATTTTTACTTTAAATAGTCTTACAAGTTTAATCTTTTATATTTTGGTAATTAAATTTAATTTTGTAGGTATAAATTTATTCTTTAAATTAAACTCCTTAAAAAACGCATATTAAAAAAATAGTTATGAAGCAAAAACTATTAGTGTATTATGGTGCCCCACTCTCCCCTATGTATGTATGTATGTATGTATGTATGTATGTATGTATGTATGTATGTATGTATGTATGTATATATGTATGTATGTATGTATGTATGTATGTATATATGTATGTATGTGTGTGTGTATGTGTGTGTGTATGTGCGTACATATGTAATGTTACATTAAAGTATTAGTTACAAAATTTGTAATAAAAAAGTAATAATTACAAAATGTGTAATCAAAAAAATATGATATGTGCTATAAAAGAAAAAGTATACAATTGAGAAAAAAAAAAGTAGTGTATCACAAAACATTTAAAGTTTATAATAAGAATACTTAATATAAAGTTAAAGATTGATCAGCCGTGGCAGCTTAGAGCACTTTAGAATCAAGAGATCTGGGGTTTGACACCTACTCCAGTCATATTTGCGCCATCTCTAAATTAGCCTGAATGAACTTCTGTGGTACTTTACAGTAATTAGGACTACGTGGGACATTTTAACTAAGAGTTCATCACTTTTAGACAAAAATATTGAAATATTTTTGAAATGCTGTCAAATGTTTTTTTAAGAATTATGTTGAATTTTAAAATATCTTTTTAAAGATTTAATTTTATTTATATAAAAAAGTACATTTGTGCATTTATGTTAAAACTTTTTTTTATTTTCTCTAATTTTTATTGGCTTTTTTTTATCCATTTTTCTTTTTGACTCATTCTTTATTTTGATCCATTCTTTATTTTGATTCATTCTTTATTTTGATTCATTCTATATTTTGATCCATTCTTTATTTTGATCCATTATTTATTTTGATCCATTCTTTATTTTGATCCATTCTTTATTTACATTTTGTTTTTATTAATAGTTAATTTGTGTTAAATTGATTTGTGATAAATTTTCTTGCAATTTTTTTTTTAAAGTAATTATTAAACTTTACTAATACTCGAATCACTAACACATGCTCTTGTCATAATTAAAAAAAACATAATAACTCATGATAACTCATGATAACACATGATAACTTATGATAACACATAAAACCTAAAATAGATAACACATGCTGTTGTTATGATAACATCATAACACATTCTAATTATGTTATTTAACAAAACATAATAACACAATTCTTTTTTTTTTTCTAACTATATCTCCAAATGCATTCTATACAAAAATAAATTTTTTGCTGAAAACAGATTTTTTTATTGATTTTAATTATTTTAAAATTTGAAATATATTTTTTTAAAGATTAACTCAGTTCGTTTTCTTATCAACACTGCAATTGGCATTGAAAGTGAAACCATTGAGCATCCTATTGATAAAGTTAGTGAAATACAGAGATATGCTCGCGAAAAACTTTTAAAGTATGACATATTTTTATCTAATAATTTTTGTTTAAAATTTAACTTTAATAATTTTAAACCAAAAGTAAACTTTCTTGATTTTAATAATTTGAAGTTTGAATTGATATTGTAAAAGCTTTTTTTATAAATCAGATTGCATACTGGTTTAAGTTAGTAAAAGTGTAGTCTTTAAAGAAGCTGTCAGAAAAAAAATATCTCAAAAAAACAAAGCTTTGTCTCAACTGTCAGAAAAGCTGCCTCCATTGTCTAAAAAGAAGTCTATCTTAAAATGTCTGCCTTAAAAGCCGTTTATAAGAGAAGCTTGTCTCAAAATTTCATTTAAAAAATTTTTCAAATTTGTAAAAAGATTCCAAAATAGTTTTAAGTAAGAAATATTTCTTTTAAAATCATTTTTAAACAATCTTTAAAAGTTTTTTAAATTTTTTAAGTTTTTATTGTTTTATCTAAAATATTTTAGTGAAAAAGTCTGTTAATATTAAATTTTATATGAAATTACACTTCTTTTGTTGACGATTATTTTTACTGATAGATTGGACCTAGTATGTAATCAAAGGTCTGGACCTAGTATGTAATCAAAGGTCCGAAGAGGGAGGTTTTTTTTAAATAAAATGAAGTCAATGCTTCTTTTATTATTTTGCAAATAAAAAATGCTCATACAAGCAACTTAGGTTAAAAAAGGTTTTTACACAAGTGACATTATTGTTAAAATGCTTATTGCATCTATGATATATGTAAATCACTTTATTTCCAAAATTTCTACCAGCCTGATCAACAAACAGCGAGAAGATAAAACACCAGAATCATATCCAAAAGAATTTTTATGGAACCAGGTATTTTTACTTTTATTTTTTTATCTCTAATTCAAACATTTTGATGTAAAAATGTTTTTTCTCTTTCATTTTTTAATTTTGTATAATTTTTGTTATTTAAAGTTTTTGTTATTTAAAGTTGTTTAAAAAACGTTTATAAAAATCATATAAAAATTAAAGTTATATTTTTTGTGATATTTATGCAATAAATTTAAATTATTTCTTAGATTTAATAATAGACTTTAATATTTATATAATATATTCAAATATTTATACAATTAGTTTAAATATTTTTAAATATTATTTAAAAAAATTAATGTTGAAAGTAATTTTCAAATAATTAATTTTATAATTAAATGTTTTAAGTACTTAACATCTTAGTTGTTATAATAATAAATACATAGTGTAAAGGAAACACTATTTAAAACAAATGTTTTTTTTCAGTTGTAATAAACTTTAAAATTTTGAATCGCAGTAAAAAAGAATTATTACCATTTTTTCGTCAAATTTGCCTGAATTACTTCCATTTTATCTACATTTTTTTACCAAATTTGTTTACATTCAGTAGTGAAACAACCAGATTTTTGCTTAATCTGGTTTATCATCATCAAATGACTAAAGAAGAGTTGTCATATCATATGAGCATCAGCATAACAACCATTGTTTCACCATTGTTTCCAGTAGGGTAAGTACCTAAGTAACATCTGGAAATCTTTCAGATTACCATCCAGAAATGTTTTAGATTACCATTCGGTAATCTTTTAAAGGATTTGTTTGATTTGTTTTAGACGAGTCATTTATTATTCATTGTGTGATCTCAAGATCTTTTGTTTAAATAAAAATTACCCAGTTGATTATCTGAATTCTCATTTGAACTCATAATACGTTCGAATTGGAACTCGACCGCATTTTTTTATTTACCGCAACATGGTCACACGTCAAATGTCTTCAAATTTTTTTTATTATAAAATTCAACTTTTTTTTATTATAATTGGTGTGTATGTGTGTGATGTGAGTATCTAAGCAGATGTCGACTGAAACGCAGCTTCGGTCGACATCTGCTTACATACTATGTATTTTACAATAACATTTTATGAGTTTCCAATTACATGTAACATCTTTTATATTCTTAATTGCATCTGGAAAAGGTGTTTTTATAATTATTTTTCTGATTCACAAATATGCCCTGAGTATAGTAATAACATTACGTGACATACATCCACAAATACTGAAATAATAATAATTGCCGTCTAATTGCAGATAATAAATATATCAATTTGTGCAATAATTTTCATAAACAATAACATATTGAAATATTGAATAATTTTTTTTTTTTACTTTTATTTATAAATAAATAAATTGTTAAAGTATATTAAAATAAATAAGTATATATAATAATGGTCCATTATTGATATTAACTAATTTTTGCATCAAAAGCGTTTTATATTGTTAGAATTAAAAGTATTTTTGGATTTTACTTTTTTCTGTATTTAAGATATGAGTGGCGATAAAATTGTCAAAAGCACAGTATACTTTATTGCGGTATTGAATATTTGGATAAAATTATATATTTTTAAAATAAAAGATAAAATAAAGGTACTCATAGTCAAAGTAACGTGTAACTAATGTAGTTATTTTTTTGAGCATATGATACAAACTAATTTTAGTAGACACTATCACTTAGTTTCAACTAGTTACTTAGTAGGTGCATCAATACCACTTAGTGTCAACTAGTTACTTAGTATGTGCACCAATACCAAATGCGTAAGTAAAAATGTGTTGCTTGCGTATTTATTAATTTAATACGTTACTTAAATCTGTGACTTTTTAAATTAAACATTTAAAATTCATTTTTAAGTGCTTATTTTTTTTGTGTCTAGGTTAAAGATGATTATTTGTTTGACTGCGGATATGAAGAAAAACCAAACCACTTGTATACTTATCACAAAGGCATCTTTTTAATAAAGGAAAAAGAAATTGACCCCCGTATTTTAGAGCAGCGTCAAAAGCTTGAAGAGTTACATAAACTTACAGGCCGGTATGTTTTTAACCAATTTCTTTTTTTTTTTTAATTTCGATTTTTTTATTTGTATAACTTTTATTTAACATTCTTTTTTTTTAGATCGATCATACCATTTACCACTGAAGTGGAGTGTCCAGTATGTTTGGTACGGTGCCGCCATCCTCGTGCATTATACTTACATTGTGAAACTCCTCAGCATAAAAATTGGTTTACTCAAATATTTAAAAATTAAGTTAAAAATAACGTTTCCATTTTTTATGCATTTGCGGCATCAATTCAGAAAACAATACTACCATATGGTGTAATTATGCCTTAGTATCATATATCCAGAGTAATGATATGGTTGTATGCGAAATAAATGTGAAAGCTATTTTTGCGTTTCCTATTCAGAAAATGCACTGAAACTGTAATGGCAATCAAAATGGTAATCAAGTTGATACGTGGAGATAAAGAACGCATATGCGTCACTATGGTTACGTCATTAGTTTACGTTATAACAACAAGCTTGCAGATATTTTTAAAAACCTCTCTTTTAAACAAGAACCTAAATGAGATACGGATATTTTAACCGTTTGTGTTAATATTGTGTCGACAATAATACTGTTTTAAATATTGTTATTTAATTCTTTTTATAAATAAAGAGTAAAAAATTAAGAGATTTGATATTTAAAAATAAGCAGCGGTGGCGTAGCGAAGAGGTTCGTGGTTTGACGTCGGTTCTAGCCCAATAAACGACATTGGTAAGAAAGGAGGCACGAACATCCTAGTTAAATGCTCTTCCGCGATACTCTGTGATAAAACCGATAGATCTTCTAAGAGCACCTAAATAACTAACAAACAAAAAACTAGTAAAATTAGAATTTGAAATTAAACAGTAATTTATAATAAAGTAAACACTTAAGATTATGCAAATCTAAACTACATTTTATGCACAAATAAAACAAATGCGAAGACTGCGTCGGAAAAATTGTTTCTATCTTTAGTAGTAGTAATATAGGGGTTTGACGCCACTTGTCGAATTTGCCTTTGTGAAACATTTTTCAACATTCGATTTTACGCCACCTTGCTCTTTAAAATTTTTTGTAAACTTCTTGGATAGCTTTTTTACCCCATTTTTCGGAAGGCTTTTTGATTAAAAATAAAATTGTAACCCCCTCAGCAAACATATTGCAGAGCTAAATTATTTAAAGCTTAGTTTGGAGTAGCTAAAGTATCATTTGAAATAATAACTTAACTTCGATCAGAGATAACTATTTCATATTCAAGTTGATCTAAAAACGATGAAGGGTGAAACGGTCCTCAACTATTAAACAATTCAAAATCAAGAGGCGTCTAATACTTCGGCACAACTATCATAAACGGTAATAAAGATGGAAAACGAATTCAAACGTCTGACCTGATGGATTTGCTAGAGTTGCTGGATTTAAACTAACGGTGATGATTTGTCTTTCACCTCAAACTCCTTACACTGTAGTAAGGTTGCGCCGAGGGTCTAATAAAGCACCATAACTTGATTGAAGAGATGAGCTCATTTTTGCTATATTTAGAGGTGAGATCACTATCTAATATATTGTTGTCTACAAGATGGCAGAAGCAAGACCAGTATCTAGTAATACTGCAGTTCATTTATATGAAAGCTTGAAGCTCTTAGTAAGATACAAAACTTTAATAGTTGATAAAACTAAAATTAAAGGATCATTTTACTTAAATGAAACTGAAAATGCTATTGGTAAAAAAACACGTGAAACTTATTTTTCAGATATGAACCGTTGAAAATATTGTAATACTCAAATAAAAAAAAAATATATGAGACAATTTCGATATATAGCAAACCTTCCTGAGTATCAGTAAAGGGATCTCTGACTTTATTTTGATAAAGGAGAAAAACCAAATATATCGGATACACATACTAACATGCTTATTGATCTTATATATATAAAAAAACAATATTAATGTACTTAAATATAAGTAGTGTAAATAAAGAAATAATTACCTTAGGTGAAAAAACAAAGAAATAGTTACCTTAGGTGTAAAAATAGATAAAAATAAATAGTAAAAATAGTGAGATACGTAGACTTTAAGATAAGTTGGATAGAATTGAATAGAATCAAAATAGGGGGATGAGGTCTGTAAATTTTTGACAATTATTGACAAGGCGTATTGAATTGTCAAGAGGTAAGATGTCAAGAAAAAGGAAGATGACGTGTACCCGGGCATCCACCTGTTAAATATTGCCCGGGTAGCATTTTTAACTGACGAGTAATTGTCATTTGATAAGTTTAAAATTCATTTCCTTTACTTCTTAAGTTTAAAATTAAAAACCAAAAAAAATCCAAGTTTCATTAAGCAAAATATATTATTATTATTATTATTATTATCAGTGCAAAGCTAAGGTGGACCTAGGGAGAACTATGGCCCTAGCCCGCACAGTCTTGGGGGCCCCGATTCAATAGCTATAGCCGGCTCTAGCCTGTCAAGCGACATTGGTCCGATAGAAGGCGTGAGCATCTAGTTATATGCTCTCTGGCAGTGCTTTGTGATAAGAATGTAAGGATTTCTGGAAGCATCTAAATAATAAAAAATAATAAAATAAATAAAAAAATATTTATTTTTAAATGCTACCCGGGTACCTGTCCGTTCGTTCCACGGGTACCCGGCAGCATTTTTACGTTTTTCGACAGCCCTAGTTAAGAATAGAGTGTGTGAACGGAGTTTAGGTGAGGAGGGAGTTTAAATGTAACGTAATTTCATGGGAAAGGGCGAAATATTTTCTGGAAGTTTGACAAGTTGTTTACAAAGTGGGAGGGAGAGGTAAAAAATTGTCAAAAAAATTATTGACATTTAATCAACAGCCCCAAAAAGCATAACTTATATGATTTTAAAATTCAGATTTAAATGTTTACAGTTATATATCTGTTCAGATCTGTTCAGATCAGCTATATATCTGTTCAGATTTAAATGTTTACAGCTATATATCTGACAGTGTTATATTTCGCGTGCATTCACCTGTAGAGGCATTAAAAAATATAGCCATTTTTTTTTTTACGCAACTGAGTTATTCCATGTGGCTCGATGTTTTGCTTTTATCGAGGAAATACAATTTTATAATATCTATGTGTATGAAAAATATTTAAAATTTATACTATTGTAGTAAAAAAGTTTGTGTTCTTTAGGATAATTATTTATTTATTTTTTACTCTCTATTTTACAAGTTATTCTCTAGTTTACAATAGATTATACGAATATCTCCTTCAAAATAACCTCTTAAACAAAAACAATTCGGGTTTCAAGCAAAACACTCAACCGAACATGCCATTCTAGATCTTGTAAATAGCATGAGTAATTCTTTCGATAAAAAGCAACTTATATAAGGGACTTTTATAGATTTATCCAAAGCGTTCGACACAGTTAATCACAATATCTTACTTAAAAAAATGGAAAGATATGGTGTTAAAAATATATCCCTTGACTGGTTCAAAAGTTACCTGTGTAGCAGAAAACAATGCGTTGTTACAGATCATAATAAATATTCAGACCAACTAGAAATAAAATGCGGAGTTCCCCAAGGTTCCATTCTGGGTCCCCTTTTATTTTTATATGTATCAACGATCTTCCAAAAGCCCTAAAAAAACCTGATGTAATAATGTTCGCTGATGATACAAATTTATTTTACTCATCGCCGTCTATAAACGACCTTAACGAATCTATGAACACTGACCTCGAAAACCTCAACATCTGGTTTAAAGTAAATAAATTATCTTTGAATACAGAAAAAACAAAATATATCTTGTTTCACTCCAACCGTCTTAAAAACTTTATACCAGGCACTCTACCTTCACTAAAAGTTGATAACATAAACATCAAAAGAACTGAAATAACTAAGTTTCATGGAATAATTATTGACCAGAATATTAATTGGAAAGCCTATATTAATACAATAAACACAAAAATATTAAAAAGTATTGGCGTACTCTACAAAGCCAAACCTATGCTTTCCCAAGACAACTTAAAAATTCTCTTCTTTTCTTATATTCAAAGTTACCTAACATACGCTAATATTGCATGGGGAAGTACCCATAAAACTAAATTAAATTTACTCTACATACATCAGAAACATGCATCAAGATTAATTTAAAATAAAGATAAATTCACTCATGCCGACCCTTTACTTAAAAATTTGAATGCATTAAATATCTATCAAATAAATATTTACCAAAATATCTTATTCATGCTAAAATACAGTGATATTTTTGTTCGGAAAATAATTTTAGTTTTAGTTTTTATTCAGTTTAGAGGCAAAGTTTTTAGTTCTAGTTCTTATTCAGTTCAGTAAATAAATTTAGTTCTAGTTTTTATTCAGTTCATCTTAAAATAATTTTAGTTTTAGTTTTTATTTAGTTCAATTTTCGTTTGTCGTATAAATTTTTTATCTCATCTAATTATAATTTAGTATAATTTATAAATAATATAGGCATATATAATTAAAAGAAGTAAGTCTTAGTTCTATAAACAAACAAAAAAATGAGAACTTAATTAAATGTAATACACCCAGTCCCATGGCTAGAAGTTTAGAGCCCCGCCCACCGCCCTTAATAAAAAACACAACAACAACCTGTCCTTATTGCTCTAAAACTTAAAAAAATTTCAATTATTAGGTATAAAAAAAACTCCTCAAATTTGGAAACAATAAAAACTAATGAATAGTTATTGTATAGACTTTAATAATTACTCATATATTTTACAAATAAAGGGCCTAGTGATTATATGATTATCATCTAGACTAGATGAGAATTTAGTTTTAAGAAAACTCGCATTTCCAATGACGCTGACATTCGATTTCTCCGTCCATTTGTGAGCAAGCCACAGATTGAAAAAAGTCTTTTAACATATGCTTGAGTTGCAGGAGCTGCAATGAGGTCTTCAGCTAATGGTGCAATATGTGGGTAAACAGCACGTCTCATCTTCCAGAAATTTAAAGCATTTTGGCACATAGAGCTGTTCCTTATTTCAATAAAATGATTGTTGAGTTCATTTTGTGCTTCATTACCTGGAATAAGCTTTATTTTTTCTACTCGCTGTTTTGCCGCTAAAAATTTCCATTTTGTTAATCCATTTATTTCTGGAGCAATCTCAACAGAAAAAGTAGATGCACTTGCTAAAGGTAAATCATGTTCCCCCGATTTTTTATCCTCTGACAAAATGTATTTCTTTGCACACTCTCTGATTTGTGTATGCTCATTACCTAAAAGAGCTATTGCACATGGGGGTCATATAGACATGCGGCACATGGCAGTGGATTAAAATTAGGATCGTTTGGCTGCAAAAGAACGGCAAAACGACGGCGTAGATCTTCAAGCATTTTAACTGCTACATCTTTGGCATCTCCAAATTGCTCAAGGTGACATTCTAAATTAAGTATTGAAGGTATAACACTGGATAGTGAAAGTGCATCCGTCTGAAGAATATCAGTTTCATTGGCAAAAGGTTTTAAAAGATTGACAAAATCCTGAAGCATTATCCATTCGCTATTGGCAAGTGAATCAATGTTAAGGTCTCCAAGCACTTCGTTGATAAATGTCTTTATTTCCAGAAATCTCCGAACCATAAAGTAAGTGCTGTTTTATCTTGTAGAACAGTCGCTGATCACAGTCTTACCACATTTGTTGATAATTTTTTCCAATGCAACAGAAGATTTGCGAACTTTTCCCACTAATCCAAGTACCTTCAAAAGTAAGCCATGATATTTACCATCATATGCAAGTTTTACAACTAGCTGTATAACATGTGCAATGCATCCCAATCTTCTAAATGCTACGTTTTCTATTACATCAACTATCAAGTCAACATGTTCCCACTCTTCACTATTTGTCATATTCTCATCGTCTTCCAGATCTGTTATCTGCTCTTCATTAACCTGACTTTCTAATTCAATAAGTATATCACGTTCAGCTTGAGTTTTCATTCTCTACAACTTTATGCCTTTGACCATGTTTGCTCCATTGTCCGAAATAACAAGCAATATTTTTTCTCTGGAAATATTCCAATATTTTAGGCATTTTTCAAAACTATTAGCAATTTGTTCACCTGTATGTGGATGTTTCACAAGATACAAATTAAGCAGAGCATGTATTGGTTTTTCGGATTTGAAGTGAAAAAAACAAACCGAAATTCCTAAAAAGGACGCAGTAAGACCTTTTTTAGTCCAGCCATCAAGGCATATTGTGAAGCGCCTGCCTTTAGATATGAAGTCACGAAGTTTTCTCGTTAAAACAGTAAATTCTTCATTAAGTAGGCTAGTAATTTTGGCAGAAGCAGGCAATGAAAATTTATAATCCAAGGTATTAACTAACTTTCTAAAACTCGCATTATCCACCAATGTCACTGGATTACATGTTGCAATTATCATTTGAATAAGAGAGTTTAGTCGAATTTTATGCTCGTGTGAATTAATAGGCCATGCGGTATTCCTACGATTAATGCATTGAATCAAGGTCTGGTTCTGATTTGAGGACAATTCTAAAAGAGTGGGTCCATTTTCATCCACTGCTTTTCTCTTTATCCCTGTTTGCTTTTTTTCACTTAATTTCTTTAATTCCGACTCTTCCAGCTCAACGTGTACAGACTTATGGTTTCTTGCTAAATGTAGCTAGAAAAAAATAAACATATTTATATAATTTTTTGTTTGTATATTTATATGTTTATTTATCTATCTGTTTATCAAATAAGTTCGTATACGTTATTGAATAATTACTCTAAAATGATAAAAATGAGTTTCAAAATGAAAACATATCCTTTAACAGATAAACTAACTTTAAGATTTGTTGGGTTCTTTCCACACAACTTTGTATTGCATACTTTTTTACCATCAAGTAAAACTAAACATACTGATTTGTCGGATGATGCATCGTATTTAAACCATTTCCATACTGAACTATTTCTCTTCCTACCAGCAAAAAGTTTACTCAAACTCATCGCTTTTTACTCATTTTTTTTCGTTCTCGTTTTCGTTCTCGTGTACGAAAATATCACTGCTAAAATACAAACTCGGACTTGTTCCGAAATACTTTACTGATAGCTTTTTTAATATCAACGCAAACAAATATATCACACGAGGAACAGGCAACTTCACCTTGCCTTTAAAAAAACAAAATTCTCGCGATTTTCTTTAATATACCGTGGCCCATACTTACTTAACAAAATAATATTTCAAAATATGGAACTTAATAAAATGGATAACCTTATTGCTCTGAAAAAAAAAACTAAAACATATCATAATTAACTTAACCAACTTCATCGAAATGTATTGAACAATTTGGGAAAAATAATTATTCCACATTTAAGAGCGTCACGGCGTGACAAATCGATGTCACGCTGTGACGCGCGTATTTTGAGCTATATCTGTAAAAATATTTTTAAAAATTATGAAAAGGTCAGTTTTTATAATACAGTTAAGCTATTTCAATATTATAAAAAAGGTTATTTTTTATTTTAAAAATCTTAATAACGAAAACTTTTTTTTTCTCGATTAAAAACGCGTTAATGCGTATCGTGAAATTGAAGTTCGAGAAATCTTATGCGTTTATTGTTATGCGGGTTGTTCCAAAAACTTTTGCGGGTTCTTCCAAAAACAAAAATTACCTAAAACTTTTGTTCGGCTATTAAAAAACAAAACAACAAGAAACCCGATCTTATGTGTTTTGATACGTATCAAAACAAGTTAAAACAGCTGTATATATAACAGTTTTTTTACATATATACGCGTCAATTTAGTAATCTAATGGTTATAGTATTTTTTTGATGCTCTTACATTTTCTTTAATAACTATTTTATAATGCTATCATCAAGAAATTCAGTCTTTAAACCATCTCTTGACCTCATTACTGAGGAGTTATCTTTGAACAGTGACAATCATATTGATAAACTTGTATCAGAGGAATATGCTGTTATTACAAACGATGATATAACGAATGCATTGGACAATAAAAACACACTTATCAGTGATTCTGAGGATGCATCAATAAGTGATTTTTTTAAAATGCATAATCGAATAAAAGCAAAAAGTTTTACGCCCTTGAATACTGAGTTATCTTCTTCACCAACTTCAGAAAATTCAGAAAATTCTTTTAATAACATCCCACCATTTAAACCCAAAAGTTCTGAAATCAATGTGGATGCAAGTTTAAATGAAATTATAAGCCAGTCATCTGAAAATCAAGAATCTCCTAGTGAACAGGTCTTTGTCAGTGACTTTAACCCAACAGTATTTTCAGATTTGAATGGAATTGCTATTGACTCAAACATTGGGAAAAAATATTTCACAAAAGCTATTAAAGGAAAATACATGAATGTTTATTATTCTTACACAAAAGAATTTATTTTGAATAGATCTGATTTTTACTTTCAAAATCTTTCAATGATGCTTAAAATATTAGATTGTGATTTATCTTTAACTGGTTTTGAAAAGAGTTCTCAAAATCTATTGGAATTACTATTTGTTATGCTTTTGCAATTAGTGGTTGAAGTCACTCAAGTTCACATATTTTCTTCTGTTGAGTCTTTTAGGTAAAATTATATTTTCTTATTAGTGGGCTAGATTAGGTCATCAATAATTACTCATTCAAGAAAGCAGTTTTTCATTGAACTTTGAGATCTTTTTATTAAAATAGTGATAGAATATATTATAATCATTTATTTATTGTTTTTGAGTTTAATAGTTTTAAAAAATTACAAATGAATTCATTGAAAAATGTTCTAAACTGTTGTGAAAATTTCTAGACTAGGTACTAATTTAAGAATAAACTAATTAGACTTGTTATCAGTTAAATAAAATTTGTGCATCAAAATACCTCACTAGGTATAAATATAAATAGTCACGACATTACTTAACTTTGTCAATTGTTTGTCTATGTATGTACAATCAACAACATGTATATTAGTAGTATGTAAAAATTTTAATTTGAAAGATTGATAATAATTAAAATACATTTTAGGCATCAGTTTTAAAAACCTAAATGATTTTAAATCTTAAAGACAATATTGAACAGCTTATCTTATAAAGCTATGTAAATATTAAATAAAAATTTGTGTTAAACAAAATACTATAAAAATCAGTAGTCTTGCCAATTTTATGTTCATGTATAATTCTGAGAGTAATTTTTTTCATATTTTTTTTTTAATGGAATAGTTATGATGATTGGTGTTAATACTTTAAAATCTATTACTCTCTTTAATAAAAAAACACAAATATCAACATATTCTTTATTATCTCTCTTTTCTTCATTTAGTGTCTTCATCAAGACATCCATGAATTATTTTGAAGGTATTATATGTATATCTTATTTCATTAATCATTTTAAAAATATTTTTGGATTAATAAATAACAGTGGTTTGATGGATCAGATCTTAGATTATTGGGATGTTGCCAAGCACAACTTTAAAAGATACTCCATATTCTTTTTAATGCATGTAAACAAATGTCAAACTTAATGTCAAAGCAAAATAAAGCTTTATTTTTTGCCGCTTTAATGAACACTTTGAATTTTTTTTTGTTGTTTTCTTTTTTTTCTTTTTGGAAAAAACAAACAAAGAGGTTTAACATATTCATGCACACTTTAACCATAATGCTGTCTTACTTGTTTCCATTTCTGAACAGTTTCACCCATTAATCTACTAAAATTTTTATGATTAAGTTAATCTGAATTTGATAAAAAGTTAAAACAGAAAAAAATATTGTTTTTTAGTTAAATTAAAAGTAATTAAGAAAGTGTGTAGATGGGAGGAGGAGGGGGGGGGAGAGACACAGTGGGCCAGATATCAACAAAAGTCAAAATTTTGATATAATCCAGTCTTTATGAAATTCATATGCAATGTTTAATAAGTTAAACAATTCCTAGTCATCTTTCCAGACTTTATAATAATTTGGTGAAATCTTCTTTATAATTTTGTTTACATTGTTACATAGTTTGTTTTTTTCAATTATTTTTGTATTAACATCATCCTATTGATTGTTGATATTTTATTACAACTTAACATGTTAAAATTGCATGTTTATCAAAGTGAGATTTAAACTTCTTATGAAAGTCATATTTTTATTTGGTTGCTATAGATACCTTTTTTTTTTTAATCATTTGCATAACAAGAGTATTTATTACTATTTTATTTCCATTTTACATTTAAAAGTTAATACACAGTTATGTGTCATTTTAAGCTGTAATAAATGAATATTAGAATAACATATCATAAAAGTTTAATTATTTTTATTATCTAAATTTGCCAAATTTAAAAAAAAAGCTGGGGTATTTTTTATTTTGTTGTTTATATTTTCAGACATGATGATCACAAATTTTTTCACATATTTTCATGTGAAAATAGTATTAGCATTTTAAAAATGCTAATTTTATTTTCTCTATAGCTCACAAACAATTTTTTAGGCTAAGTTCCAAACTAAAAGTAGTATATTTTGTATCAGCAGTGAAAAATTAAATGAATTCACAAAAAGATTATATAAAAGTAACACAGTATTTAAAAAAGTCAATGAGTTGGTTAAATGAGAATTATATTTTTGTGGATAACCAAGAGCCATTATTACTACTGCTGCCCTCAGTTACTTCCAGTTCCATATAAAGGCAAAAAATACAATTTGAAAATGCCGAAAAAAAAAAACCAAGCATAGAAAAAGTCTGTAACTAGCAGAGTCAAGAACATCAGAAGAGCTAATCTTATTGGCTATTCATCTTTTAAAGCAATGTCAAAAGGCATGCTTAAAGCTGAGTCTTGTTGGGTCTTAAATGGGTCTTGTTCATTGACAACACTATATTTTTCGACAAAAGCTTTAGCTATTTTTCTGGATTTTGAATTAACTAAGCAGGACTATCAAACACTGAGAAACTCACATTATCGAACTTACAATTCTTATATAGATTTAAAAAAAACTACCATAAACTATATATACCATAAACTGAAGTTGTAGTGTCGGACTATTAGGCTAAAGATTCGGCTAAAATATTCTTCGCCTTTGTCACTTTTATATAAAATGTTGTGAATGTTTGTGATTGGTATTCATGCCAAATTTAGCGAATACAGCACTCATAAAAAATCTACAACTACCAAAATAGGTTGTTTCTATGCAAAAATAGGTATCCATAAAACTAGATATCTTTAGCAACCAAATGAAAAATCAAGAAGTACAAACCTTATATTAATGCACAAACTAACTATAGTGTATATACCACACATAAAACATCTACAACTAAATAAAATACTAAAATATTTTACCTTCATAAGAAGTGTGAACCTCATGTTAATGCACATACTAAATATAATTTATATATTACAAATAATAAATCTGCTACTACCAAATATAGGTTGTTATTATGCAAAATTAGGTATCCATAGCAACCAAATATAAAATTACCATTTCCATAAAAAAAGCACAAACCTTATATAAGTACTCATGCCAAGTTTAGTAAAAAAAACCCTAATATTTAATTAGTTATTTTTATAAAAGTTGAAAAGAAAAGTTCCATTATCTATAAGCATGTATACAATCAAAAAAGCAATAGAGCTTCTTATATATTAAGTATTAAAAATATTACTCATTTAAAAGAAAATTAGAGTGATAAATTTTAAAGATATAATGCCTAAATCTTTATCTCAGTGAAACCAGTTGATGAAAATCTTGATATGTAAGTCAATGAATATAGACTTATTATGCCCTATTATTATCTCTCAATTTTATTTCTCAGTTGATATATGATAGATTAAAACATAAAGTATTTACTAAATATATTCATAAATGAAGGCATAGTGCATACAGCAACTGAGGGTTTGAGTTAGGCAAACATATTCAACTTATTGTAATTTTTGCTGCAGCACCATTATTTAGTGAATACTAAAGTACATTTAAAATTTTTTTTAAAAAGATTTTTATAATTGGTAACCGCAAAAAAATTTTTCTAGTATCTTAAAATTTAAAAAATTTTTCTATCATCTTGATTTGACTTTAATCAAATGTTGATAATTTCTATAGCATTTTATTTCCACAGTGTTTTATATAAACCATTACTAGTGTTTTTTTTTTATTAGTCAAGATTTTTTATTATCATTATATTAAATAAAAAATTAATGATCAAAAATTCATAAAATCAGCTCCTGCTGTAGTTTAAAAATTTTCGACTCCATATTGAATAAATGAAAAATTTAAATCAACACTGTTTTTACTAATTTAGATTTTTAATATTCTGATTTTTTAGACTTTCTTATAATTAAAAAATAGGACTTATGAAAAAACTTTTTTTTTCTTTTTTTTCTTTTTAAACATCTTCACTTCCAACAAGGCTACAAGCAACCACTATTAGAGTTGAAAGTTACTGGAAGAGAAAGTGAAGTTTATAAAGCAAGATAGCAATTAACAGATAACTTAAAAGAAAAAATTATATAAATCAGGAAAACAAAATGATTGGAGCGAATTCCAAAGAACTGATGTCCAATGAAAAAAACTAGATGAATAAGACTTTTTGAAGCATTTGGGAATAATCACAGTAAAAGGATGAGAATTAAATGACATGTAACACAAGAATGAATTTTAGTAGATGGCACAAGAGATGCTAGCATTTAACCCTAACCCTAACCCTGACCCTAACCCTGAGTAGTGCCTATTATATTATTTATAGAAAAGAAAAAGAGAAGCAACATTACAACAATGTGAAAATGTTTGAAGGTTGGTTGCAAGAGCAGGTCGAACTATATTTACAATGCATTTTTGCATCTTGTCTAAAAGAAAAAGGGCATCATTTGAAGATCCGCTCCAGATATGGTAACAGTATTCTATTGAAGGATGGATTTGAGATTTATGGAGATAAAAAATACTTTATCTTCATAAACCTTAGCTGATACTAATTATGCAATGGATTTGATATATGGTTTCCAAGAAAGATCGGAAGTAAGAGTTAATCTTAGAAGATGAAGGGTAGATGACTCATTGAGTACATTACAATTTATAAATATAAGAAGAACTAAATTGTTGTGATAACGATTGGCTGAAAAAAATTGGGTTTTATCTAAATTAAAGTTCACCAGCCACTGTGAGCCCCATGTTGTAGCAGGTGAGATTCTTTTCAAGCTCAACTGCCCCCTCTAAGCAATCAGAGAGTGTTTCCTTCTTATCATGACAAGAATAAATGGTAGTATTATCAGTGAATAATGCCACCTTAGATGTGAGAGTTTCTTGGAGATCTTTAATGTTAATTAAGGTCAAGGATAAAAACCTGAGGAACCCCTGAGGTTACAGGAAATGAAAAAGAGTGCTGTCCATTGAAGACAACTTTTATGCGATTGGTAACTATGATTGGTAACTATGATTGGTAAGGAAGGATTTAATCTTAAAAATCTGAAAAAATTCAGGGGAAATTCAGTTGGGAATTATGAGGAAGTTTTATAATTAAATTTATTTACATAAAAATAAAGATGATTAAAACAATGAAAAAAACTTTTAATTTAGTTTACTTTAATGAAGTTTAATGTTACATAAGTATTAGGGTTGTCCATTTTTTTTCAAAAAGTTG